AACAAATACTCCTTATCAGTACCAAAGGAAATGTATAGAGAATGAAAAAAATGCATAATTAACTTTTTGAACCCTAACATTGGTCTCTATATTCTCCATACCCTTTCCTATACATTTCCTTTGATACTTACAGGGAGAATTTGTTTAACAATCAAAGCATCTTAGGTTGGGGATCATTTCCTGTATTCTCATGATCTTAGTGAATGACTCAGTGGTGATACAGTAATGAGAAATTAGATATTGGTCAATCTTAACGCTTTGACTCCCAGAAGTGATTAACATCTAACTTCTCCCTAAAGTATGCATACATTATCTAGCAATCAAGTAATAGGAATATTGAAACCTATCAGGTAGAAGTTTACATCTTGATCTAACACCCTATTCTTCTCACAAATTCACAAGGAAATGTGTAGCAATTAAATGGGAGAATTGACAATCATATCGAACATGTAAATGTTAGCAGTTTCACTCAATAAGGCCACTAAAAATAATTTTCCCTTACAAATATAACACAGTTTCAAGCAGACAGGTGAAAAGAAGAAAGGAAAAAATCAACAAGGAAAATTCTTTGATTAATTGATAAATTCTCAAGGATAAAAAGTTTAGCTAATATATGGCAGACAGTGTAGAGAATTGATATTTAGATCTTAGGAGTAGGAGGAATAAATGGAAACTCACCCCAAGTAGTGCCAATTGGTGATGGTTTGACAAAATCCAGAACTGCAACTTTTTTCCCAATGATTGCTGCTTCCTATTTAAAATATAAAAAAAAGAAAAGCCATTGATTACTTCTGGTCTTACAAGATTGAGTTTTCACAAGTTTTCCCTCCAAAAATGATGTACAAAATGGGACCACAACATCTAAAGGTGTGCATTTGACTGTTCAAGAATTTTGCTGCATGATTTTCCGGAGCTGGCAATGATTTCCAATCCAGACTCCATCATGATCTTCCTAAGGCCTGGTTCACACTTGTGATAAATTGGTGTAAAGAAAGATCTGTTCTTTCTGTGTGTCATTTCATGTACTATCTCCATGTTGATAGGTTGTTGTCATGTATTTGAGTCCACATTTTAACATTATAAACATAATGACAAAAAAAAACTTCTTTTCTTTATGTGGTTATGGCAGCTGTGAAATATGTCCATGTCATCATCACTATGTCTGTATGTTTACTCCACAAACATAACAGCATTAGGATAGTTACTGCCATCTATATCACTACCCTTGCGTGAATATGAACTCTCAGAGCCTCTAATATAATTCATAAAATGAGAGATATACTACAAGCACCCTTATTGGTTAAAAAACCTATCATTTACTGCCCCAATTAACCCATAGCAAAATAATTGAACCATACTACCATAATTCTCCATGTTTTCAATACATTCTGAATTATCTTTTGGGAAATTCCTATCTGTCTGAATTTAATTTTTTTGTCAAGAAATGTTGAAAATCTGATTTTTGACCTTGAAAATGGGGGTCGTCTTATACACGAGTTTGACTTATACAAGAGTAAATACCATATGTTTTGTTGGAAGTTAATTTTTTAGAAGCAATAGCCTGCACTTCTATCAGTTTACTGGCATATAAACCCACTTGGGTTGTTGGGAGAACATTTTATTCCTCATGGTGACTCAGAATTTTCTCTTTGTCCCACGCTTGTGACAAGATGAAAAACAATTTTCTCTATTTCTTTGCCAAGCTTAAAACTTATCATCTTTCTAATTTGTTTTTATAAAATATGACACTATAGTAATTGCTGATCCTAGCAGTATGCAGGATGTATGTTGTATGTGGACTTCGTAATGAGCCTTGCTCCCCAGAGTCTCTGGGGCTCAGTGGCAGAGTATCGGAGCATGGATTCCAAAGGTATGAGGTTTGATTCCACATGGGGACTCAGAATTTTTTCTTTGCCACATGCACATGACAAGACAAAAAACACCTTTCGCTAACATTTGAAAAGTTTGTTAATCTCTTGCCTCTAGTTTGTAAAATGATAGAAACTGAAAGAAGGTGCAGTCTATTGCTAAAATATACATAATAATTAGATCTTCAGTGTGCAATTTATGAGTCAAGGTGAACATCTCATAACAGTGCTGATACCCTGTAGACAGTACCTTGGAACATGCAAGACCACCTGAACCTCCACCAATAACAATTAGATCATATGTGTAGTTTTCTGATGGAGGCATTATCAACTCCATTAGCTTTCCATCTGTATGAAGCTTCATCGTAGCATCTGCACCTCCAATGTGTTTCCCATGAATGAACACATTTGGAACTGTTCTTTGTTCTGTCATCTCTTTCAGTTTGTCCTGTATCGTTGATCCATTGTCTGAAGAAAAAAAAAACAGAAAAACAAGACAACTTAAAAAGTTAGCAACTATTCAGAATGATGAAGTACAAAGGTTAAAAACAAAATCATTTTTCTAACAGTCTGCCCTTAGTTGTTTGAAGAGTGAATAAAGCTGTCCACTGGATAAATCTCCATCCCATGGAGAGCACAGTCGTTTCCTTGACAGTTATCCACTGGATAGCAATTTTTTCAGTTGGTTAGCATTAAGCACCCTTTAAACAACTGGACCATCTAGGAAGTAACCACAAACGCACACTTTTGCCTGCATACATAGAAGCATAATGCCTCTAGGTGCAATAGGAGGTCAGTTAATTATTTGACCACTTGGAGTGAATAACATCTTATTTCCCCTTATGACATCACCACCAAATCACAGATTAGAGGTCACAAGACTAAGGAAAATTATCACCACCTAAAAAAAGGCTCTTAGTTATCAACCCTTTAACTCCCGTGATCTCATTAGCAATTCTCCTTACTGTCTGCCATACAGTTCTTGTGATGTTCGTTTGGAGAATTTGGTATTAGATCAACTTATAATCCTCTAATTGATATTTTTCTTTATTCTCATCACTTGTCTGCTTGATATTGTATTGATATTGTAAGGAGAAATTCTGTCTTGATCACTCACAGGAGTTAAAGGGTTAAACAAAGTTCTCCTTTCAGCACCTGAGGAAATGTACAGAGAACGGAGAAGCTAGTCACTTTTACAAGTTTAAGGGATAATACTGAGCCTTTGAGAACATCAATGAAGAAAAGTTATAAAAATACTTATCCAATTTTCTTGTTTAATCAACTTTCTAGTGTTATTGATATTACCTAGTAAGTCTATCTCCAGAGCATAAAATGTCACATTCAATGACTTGAAAAGCTCTTTCACCTGTAGGAGAGTGGTAAACAGATTAATAGCTGAAATGAAAATAATATGAAAAGTTCCTCATCTGATCAAGTATTGTTTAACAGTATGAGCAAGGCTCGAAAACATTATTTGGGCTTGTGCTCATCAAGATATTGAGTCAAAGCTATTTTTGCTGAGATACAATCCATTTTTAGCAGAAAAAATAAGCATTATGTCATATATCAATAAACTCTCACCCTCCTTTTAAAAGGTTAGAATATTTTCACAATGCTTTTATTGTACATGCAGCATCAAACTAAATACATGAAAAGTAATATAGCTGTATTTAAAAACTGAACTTAGCTTCTTAACATTCGTAAACAAACAGACAATTTGTTCAGCCATCCAAGAAGTTGACCAGACAAAAAACTATATTTCAACAGACATTGTCCTTAGACCAGCCTTTATTTCTAGCCCTGAGAAAAATAAACATCCCTAAAATATTTGCTTTTATTTATTGTTTTTGATTATACATGGCCCCTAAATGTGCAGCAAATTTCAGAATTTCATATTTTAGTATTTGACAGCTGTTTTCAAATATACCCTTTTTTTAAATTAAGAAACCAAAGATTCCGCCTTTCTTTGCAACACATAATTAATCTAAATGATAATTAATGAATTTTTTTCTTGTGTTTTTGTGGAGGTGACTCATTTAATGATCCTAGCAGAAGAAAAGCCATCGAAATGAAGTCATTAAGAATATTGAAGGGACGTTGAATCTGCATGCAAAAAACTTCCTAACTCTGGATGATTAATTAATAACATCGTGTACTGATTAGCTACTTTTTTGTCGCTGTTTACTCTCTGAAAAGTAAAGTTTTTCAAATAATGTCCACAGATCTGGTACATGACAAGATGTCAGCGACTCACTAACAATCGTATTCATTTTTAATAATACATTATTTCAAAAGAAAACTTTGGGGAAGACAAGATGATAGCGTAATTGTTTTGGTTAGGGAGAAGGCAACATTATGAAATGAACACACTTAAGTCCCTTCTTCAATGCCACAGATTTTCATTTTTACAAAGTAAATAACCCTTCTTTTTAGACGAAACACGCAAAACTAAATTTTCCAATAAATGTACTAAATAGCGCCTTGTGGCAAAAACTTTTTCTTTTCGTTCCGTGACTGTGTATTCAAATTCCAAGTTTGTACGGCAGCGTTTTTTCTTTTCATTATTAAAGGTTTGATTCTGTCATCGAAAGGATCACTTAGTTCATAAAGGAGATCGAAATCTAGATGGCCGCATTTAAGTATTGTTTATGCTCGGCAATAACGAGTACCGATCTCCTAAGAGAATAAGAGTACAGTTCTTGTGATCCGTAAAAGCCGAAGAGATTTCAACGGTCAGATCCCGTTAATTCCTGAATATTCAGGAAAGCATTAATTTAAACAGGCGTCAAGCTTGTTATGTTGATGATTATTAGACCTTAAAATCGTTGTCTTGAACGAATCTTAGTTGAATATTTTTTTACAGATACGCAAGTGTATTACGCAACTTTCTCCTCTGGGATCTGCGATGAAAAGATCTAGCTTCTAATCAACGAAAGTGGAGCTGTTAGCTTAAAACACATATTTCGCCAGAAAGCAAGTAGATTTTGTTCTGTATATTTATTTACAAAAGTGAATATGCGCGGGGAGTGATTTTTCACACGGAAGAATACACAAGACGAGAGCTAAATTTATCAACGTCCCAAGGTAAAAAAAAAAAAGAGTGTTTAGTTCGATCGTGATTTTCCTTTCGGTTTCTCAAAAGGAAAGAAAAAGAAACACGCTTACCTTTTTACAAAATGGGCAAGTCGACTTGGAGAACACCATTACATTGTTGTCTTTGATGTTCTGTTCGATCAAGTCTTTTACGGGAGCCATCTTGTTGGGGACTTCAGGCGAAGGCGTCCTCGCCCGCTTGAGACTCGACACTACGAAACCAATGATGGAAAAATGTTATATTGCTGGCGATCAAAATATTTGCAGTTATATGATAAGGGATTATGGCAAGAACGTGACATTGCAGCTTCCTAAAGGGGCAGTACCGCGAAAACGGCCGCCATATTTAAGTCTAGGTTACGTCACGTGCTGAACAGTAAGCATTTTTCCCGTTTAGCCCTTCCATTGTTTACACTTAGATTGAATTAAAAAAATTAAGGTTCTGCTGACCGGTTCGCAACGTCAAGTTGGAGCAACTTACCCGCAATACCTT